AGGGCGCTCTGGCTGGCATTTGAGTGTCCGGCCCTGGGCCGGACCTCTGAATGGCTGCCTTCAACCGGCCTATCAGGCCCTTAATCGTAGATTCCGAGGGACCCCTTTCGCCCCTCGGAACGTAAGGAGGCGTGGGGCACGTGCCCCGGTGCCACCCTGCGTGCGATTCTGCCTTCTGGATTGCATGAAGTGTTAGCCTTTGAATGATTTCCGAAATGATTACCACATGCATGTTAAGAACTTTAATGGAGATGCATGCACTGGGTTTCTTGATTGTCACTTCACTCGACAGCTATACAACTTATGTTGCCCATACCCAGCCTTTTGCAAGGTCAGGTCAGGTCGTGTCACGATATGTTACGTGATATTTGCGCTCTTAACTTTGCTTTTGAGCGTGTGCCGGCCAGCAATTGATCGCAACGAGGCTCTGAAGGCATGCAGTTTTGCATCTTATTTCGAACTGAACCTCGCGTCGCTTGTATGGATTTCGCGTAAACATCCCAAATAACGCTGTCTGTGTCGACTGCCAGATCAGTTTAGTTATCTATCAAGCATTGTCTTTATGCATGGCCGGTTCGAGAACGTGCTGGCATGTTCTGCTGTGTATTTGAACGCTTTCCGCCTTTTCCCAGATCCATGAGCGGCATGGGGAAAAATAGCACACTTGATGATTTGTGGGCGGTTGATGCATTCTATTAAGGAAGCTTGTTGATCGATCAAGTAACATTTAGTGCCGACCATAACAATAGAGGAATGAAGGTTCTTTACATTTTGGTTCAGACTTCGATTATTCACCATCCATGCATATGTTATAACGATTGGGGCAACGAGTATCCGGGCCTGATTTGTTTGGTTGAAATGCTCATGTATATAAGCATAAGGCATGCTTTAATATTCGTTTTTAAGCGGCAGAACTCCTTAAAAAGCTGTTCAGGGTAGACAGGGTAGTTCTGAATATGGAGTGGGCAACAGATGGTAAATAACAAAAAAAATTGAATGGCATCCGACAGAAAGGAAACTTCACGGGCGGATGAAACCTTGTCTACCCATGTGTAACGGGTGACGATTTGGGGTTGTGCAGAATTTAAAACAATCACCGGTATGGCACGAGTATGGATAAGACAACTATAAAATGCTAGCGAGACATAAAAAAGTATCTTATAATCTTTCTTGTTGTGCTCCTTTTTGTCATCATTAGCTCCACGGACATTTCTTTTTTGTAACTATCAACGGAAAGCAGCAAGTTTGGGTGGAAAATAATAAAAATATCTATTGCCTTCTTAAGAATCGGTGCGAAGCCTTTAGTTGGATGGATTTCTGGAAACAGTTCCCACGCTATGCAGTGCTTGCGCCCACCGCCATTTCAGTTAACTTGGGGGCCAACAACATAATTTTGCAATGCAACTTTTTATTATAACGGAGTTATTGGGATGGACGGAAACGTTGCTAAAACTTTTCCATGGCTTACAGTTTTTGTGCTGTAAAAAGAAAAACCGGTGGGTGCCATGCAGGCATACCTGGCTGAGAATGGATAACTGGTTGGCGTGGGCGAGAGGTCTGAACGGCTTGGCAAAAGCCATAGCTGAAATGTAACATGGGTATTGCTGTGGGTCGGTAACGATTTCGGAAAATGTATGCATACAGATACTACTTTTGCCATATTACCAACGCAAGAGGGTAAGTCTGGATGTGCGCATTACTGAAATTCTTCTATAACTTAGAATTAAACTCCAATAAAAACACAAGCGAGTGGTTACCGGGCAAGCGTAACTGGGTGGGGATGGCTGACGGCCCGGTGTGGGAATAAACCGTGGGGGGTTCTGGTGTTGGCGCAGCCCCAGTGACAGTGGATGGGTAAGTAAAGAAGTCTTATCCGTGAAGTCCTCTTCTCCTCGATTGCCTCGACAGTACCACCTTTCCCGTTCCTAAATTTTGTCCCGGAGTTCGGCCACAAGTATAGTATATTTTCGATTAAAATTTACTCGTTAGCTTTTGGAACTTCACATTTCAAACATGTGTGCTGAATAATCTACTCGTCATTTGCGCATCAACAGAGACAGCTTCGTAAAGCCTCACCAGGCGTGCAAAACAGTTTTCTTTTTTATACACACCATAACACGAAACATTTTGCAGCCGTCTTTTGTTTTACTAAATTCCCAAAAGCGATTTGGAAGAAAACAAAGCAAACGACACGAGTTCTAAATCGGAACAGGACGCAATACTGTGGAGCCGACATAACCCGGCTTCGATCACTGCTTATGAATGGCAAGTGCAAAAGTTAAGGGCTTAACACAAAAGCCTCACGTCCTTTCGTGACATGACTGACCTTATAGAAAATGCTGGGCAAGCTAGCTGCGGGCACCAACAGGCTTATAGCCATCACAGGCGGTGTCGATGAGCAAACTCAGTACCTATATAATCGTTTTTCATTTATGTACACGCGCATGAAGGTGTCTTTTTCGGAGATTTGTAAAATTTTGCATTTAATAGCCTAGAATTACAACTACCCAAATAATGCAATTATACTTGTATGAAAGCAAGGCTTACAAAGGCAAACTTTTCGAGAGGTGTAGTTTTCGTGTAGTTAGATGCAGGCTCGTTCGGTTTTAGCCACGCTTTTTTAGCAAAAATCGCAAGTTTTCAACTCGATGCACAACCCCCAGAAACGTTTTTATTTCTGATTCATTGCCGATTTTGGTACCAAGAATTTCAGAAAAGTCATTCAAATGAGTGAAAATCCGTTTGTGCGCGTCATCATTTGGCCCGCTTCTCGGTCAGGCCTTTCCACGCTATGTTTGCATCTAGCATGCACCATGCAGCATCCTTAAGATACGACATTTGCAATGCATTTCTTGCATCGTCTTCGTCCGGACCTTGTAGCAAATAAGCCTCCTGTTCCAGAGAAGTCTCTTAATATTGGAGTGTGCCCCGTAATCCAAATCAGGGGACTTCTAGCTCACAAGGGAGCATCGAAGCTCACGAGTGTCTAATATTTCATAACGGTAATCCCCAGTTCATAAAGGGCCCCTAGCTGATAGCGGGGCCTCCCTGTCAATAACAGGGTCTGCTAGTCCATAGCGGAAGCCTCCCGAACCAGCAAAGAGACGTTTTTATACAAAATCGGGTCTCACCAGCTAGAGCATGGGCTACCGAACTCATGAAAGCGCTCTCGGGATCCAGAGAACGATTTCTTGATGCAGAAAAGCCTTCTGAACACGATGTAGCCACTCTGGCTCAATTATGGCGGCCTCCGTGATATGAACTCTGCTAATCAACGTGGGTTACAAAGCCTTTGGTTGAGCGAGCGCGGCCTTCCAAACTTCTGAGGAAGCCAAAACGTACTATTGCCCCTCTGCTCCCACTCCCGCGCTGTCCCAGCTGCGCCGCCGGTGCTTGGTGGTGCTATTCCTGGGATATAACCAGAGCCAGGAATAAGGAATCATTGCCATCGTTACGTATGAAGCAGCAGCACGTGCACATGCGCTCCTCCATGCCCGTGGCGTTTGGCGAGCTTGCTTGTTGGACCGGCGGCGCTCCTGCTTGAGGGCCACGCGCGCAAGCCTGTCGGCAGCCCGACGCCGACAGGCGCTGGCGTGTCGGCAGAGCGGCGATGCCGACACTCAGCTCTCCATTGCTGACATGCCGTTACCGTATCGCCATGGCAAGCCGGTCTGTCTTTACCAATTCGCCATGGCAGGCCGGTCCGCCATTCCCGTATCGCCATGGCAGGCCGGTTCGTCGTTACCGCATCGTCATGGCAGGCCGGTTCGTCGTTACCGTATCGTCATGGCAGGCCGGTTCTCCGTTACCGTGTCGCCACAGCAGGCCGGTTCGTCGTTACCGTGTCGCCACAGCAGGCCGGTTCGCCGTTACCGTGTCGCCATGGCAGGCCTGTGGCCGTTTCGCCGTTACCGTGTCGCCACGGCAGGCCGGTTCGTCGTTACCGTGTCGCCATGGCAGGCCGGTCCGCCGTCACCATACCGCCATGGCAGGCCAGTTCGTCGTTACCGTGTCGCCACGGCAGGCCGGTTCGTCGTTACCGTGTCGCCATGGCAGGCCGGTCCGCCGTCACCATACCGCCATGGCAGGCCAGTTCGTCGTTACCGTGTCGCCACAGCAGGCCGGTTCGTCGTTACCGTGTCGCCACGGCAGGCCGGTTCGCCGTCACCATATCGTCATGTTCGCCTTCTCCGGAACTGGAGCGCACGCCCCGCGGTCCATTCGTTAGTAAATCTCACGAATCGAGGCGTCATCACGAGCGCACTCGTGGTACACGGCTTACGTGCACGGTACGCGTGCGCTGACCACTCGAAAAGTGAGCAATCAATCGGCGGTGGTCTTGAGTCACGCCAAGCCGACCTGCGTGAGTCACGACTTAAGCCTTCCGCATGACGCGGCCACGGGCTGCGGCTGGAAACGGCCGGCTGTCTGGTAGCTGCCGCAGCCCGCGGGCGGCCGCGCCTCGTGATGGGAGGGGGCCGGGGGGGGGGGGGGGCGGTGACGACAGATCCACCTCGCTGCCAGCGTCCTGCCGGCAGGTCCGTTCGACGCCAGCCGTTTGAACCGGGCGCTAACCGGCCGGAGTTAAAGCGCAGCGTGAGCTGCGGGATTGGAGCGCCGGCGGCTACAACGACCGACGGCAGCGCCCGCGATAAGGTCGGCGTCCGTGGCGGCGGTCGCTGACTGCGACGCCGACTCGCACAAGACGTGTCGTGCCGGGCCACGGTCGATAACCCGCCGGTCACCCGCCGCCCGCTGAAAGCTGGCGCGACCTTGCCATGCACGCCCTATCACCCGGACGCTGGCGGTTACACCTGATCACATGCAGACGTCTGTGATTTAGTCGGGCGCTGCGGCGCGCTGATCGCACGGCGAACGACCGTTTGAACGCCGGCTGACGTTTGAGCCAGCGCCGGCGGCGATCGGCGGGCAGACGGGGCGCCGCCGCGCCCCTGGCGGCAGCGTGCCGCACTAGAACGCCATTCGGCGAGCGGCGCGCGGCGAGGCGGTGTCGTGCGCCGGTCTCGGCCGGGGAGGGCCGCCGCTGCTGCGCTCAGTTCAGCTGGGGCGAGCGTGTTATACTGCGGACTGCGAGTGTCGACGTGAGATCGGCGCGTGCGGGCGCTAGTCGTCGACCACGGGTGACGCGGCCGGCCGCAGAGCAGGGCTGACTGGGTGGCGAGCCGGTGTGCTGGCCACCGAACCCTCTACGGTGCGACGGTCAGCGTGCGCCGCTGACCAGCTGAGTCGCCTGCTGCCGCCACCACAAGGCTGGAGTCAGCACCTCGCTCTCTGTCCGCGGCTGGCATGCCGACTCCTGGCAAGGTAGGCTGTCCCAGCTAGAGCTGGGCATGAATCCGAAACCACCTAAAATATGGATGCATCAGAGGAAAATAGGCGTCCCGAACTAGAGGCGTAATTTTACACGTTGAGGAGGGGGGGGGGGGGGGCATGAACTGCAATTATTGATAGAAGAATCATTTCTAGTGTGCTGCAGCCTCGTCAAATTGCTGGCTATACGTATAAAACCTGACACGTTTTCCATGCATGCATTTTTCCCCGCTGACTTGAAGTTTGAACTGTACATTTAATTACACGTACATTATCCATGCACACATCAATACGTGTCATGCGGGGGTGGGCAGACTTCAGTGCCTTCTTGATTATTCCTCCGCTCCGGGGGAAATACTTGATACCCTCATGCCATATCGGTAGCTACTATGCCCGTGTACTATACCCGCATGATGTACCCGCAATACGCCCATCTGAAGTTGAATTTACTATTCAATTGAACCATCACCGAGTTGACTCAAATAGTTGCCTAAGCAGACCATATTTCGTCATGTCGACTCAGGAGGCAAACACCTCTTCAGTCGCTCAAAATACCTCCCTGGTCACCCTAATTGCTTCCGCAGTCATCGATCCCCCCCCCCTCAGTCGCCCAAATCGTCCAGCATTCGAGGACTTTTGCTTCCTCTTTGCATGAGGGCGGACCCAGAACGACTCATCGGGGACACCAAATTCAAAGATGTGCCTGATTTTCAAATACACTTCAGATTTCGCTTCTTTCTCTGCAACAGGCCTCTGTCAGGAGTTTCTGAAGCTATTCTCAAAGTCTAACGACATAATATTTTTTTGTCCCACCTTGGCCACCACGAGAAGGCCATAGCTTGGTGGCCACCTCACTAGATCCGCCTTCGCCAGTGGAAAATACGCTGAGATACATGCAAAACTTGAGGAAACCAGGTAATCTGACGAATGCTGAGGATGTATCAATTAGATAAGATTGTGCACCGGCCAAAAAAGGCATTGGCACTAGGACATTTGCTTCTCTACAAGAGGTTTCATGTATCCAATCGGATCAAGGCTTACACTTCCTTCCAATGGTCCCGCCCCCCCCCCCCCCCCTGACACTCAATTAGAGTTTCTTAGAACGTGCCCGGTGTATCACAAAATGAGAATAAAACTAGGGACTGCACGTGTCTCATCTGTTCATCTTCTCACAAACATATGTTTGCCTGGATTTGTCTATAGACCTTGGCATACAGACATTAGCCTGCTTTTCAGTATAAGTTTCTGATTCCTCCGGGTTCTTTCGACAAAACAAGACCCCAAATTCGGGTTCCCACTGGCTCTTTCGGCAAAACCGAACCCTGAATCCTTGTTCCCCCCGGCTAGTTTGGCAAAACAACCCTAGATTCTGGTTCCTACTGGCTCTTTCCACAAAATACGGACTGGATGCTGGTTCCCACTAGATCTTTCGGCCAAACAGATTAATGGATGCTGGTTCCCACTGGTTCTTTTCGAGACAATAGATCTGTGTTTCTCGTTGTCATTGGTTGGTTCGAGAACATAAGACGTCTGATACCGGTTGTGAGTGGTATTGTTTTAACCTTTGTACAAGCCTCGCCAGATTTATGCGAGAGGTATGCCCTCTCCCTCCGCTCAATGCACAGAATGTTTTAGCAGTCTGGGCTCAGATAATGATTCATTAATATTTCATGTACCGGTGTGTATTTTGAGACAACGTCTGTACTGCAGATCTGTATTTATTTGGACTTAGTAAGCAGTGCTTAGACTTAGCAGATATACTTTATAGGTAGATAATAACAGACTTAAATAGACGTAGTAAAAGGGTAAACAGCGCACTTCATATACAGGCACAAGAATGATACATGCATACAGAAGCACACCGCACCCTGGCGCTGGTAGGTTTCTCCTCATTCATACAAATGCAACAGAGAGGGTCCCCAAATCAAGCATGTGATTTTGCTAACTTGTATTTGAAACCCACGTGAAATAGTTGCCTAGAATCAAGCGAACAACTTCTTCAAAGTGGGTCCATTCGGGATTACAAGTGGGATGTACTTGTAGGAAAAATGTTACGTTTGTACTGTACGCTTGCCTACAGCGGCGTGGCACGTTTGAATGCGCTAATTAATTGCATTAAAATATTGCAATACCCCTCCCGATTTCAATGTTACAAAAACACTGATAGAGCTCCTGCTATCAGGGTCTCCCTAAAATTATGGCAGTGGTGCAGCGAAGAGTTCTTTGATGACATTAGCGCTGTCGAAATGAGCCAATATTGACTGAAGGGCCAATGTTGACTGAACGGCCAATGTTGTCTGAAAGGGCGACGTTGATTGAAGGGTCAAAGTGATTGGAGGGCCATTATTGACTGGGCGTTGACTGAAAATAGATCACCAAAAATCAAACCCAGCATTTCCCCCTTAGCTGAGAGAATATTAATGGCCTCTGCTATCTAATGTTAACAAAAAGGGAATAGCCCTGTAGAATCTGTCTATTTTGTGTTCGTGTCTTCTTCAGTTGTCAAACCTGCGAGTTCCTATCATATGGTGCCCTTCTTGTTGATGTCAAATCACAGTGTGTCCATGTCCGCATTTAAGAGTCACCCACCTGACCGCCAGAAATCAAGGCCGTGTAAGGGTGAGATATAGGTCAGGAATGAGGTAGTAGAAGTACGATGGTCGTGTAACCAGTGTGGATCGGCTCAGCTGATAAGTGGTCCTCCATTCACTCTCCACGGATCTACGACTTCAAAGTTAATGTGAATAAACTGTCAGGTGACAAGTACAGCTAACAAATGTGCAGCAACGACAAGCTAATATTCTCTGTAGATCATCATACTTGACTAGATGTGTTTACATTCTGGTAGTGAGGGCTTTTTCACCCAACATGAATATTTTTAAACTGGTTATTTCCAAAATGGTTAGCAGAAAAATGTTAAGGGGGCACGGGTATGGGATGGGGCCTGGGCTGTTTGTTCAGCTTAGCGCTACCCAGTGCTTTAAATGCCTTGGATAAAACTGATACATAGCGGAGTAGGTCCGCTAATGAGTTGGGTGAAATGGCGTCCAGCATGCACGCATATTTTATGCGTATATATGTATATATATATATATATATATAATATTTTATGCGTCTAGTATTTACGCGCTTTAGTGAAGTCCTAGAAGCTTGCGGTCACCTGTTCGGAGCTGCGGAGGGGATTGTTGGGTTGGCAAGGAGCCAAAGTCAACTGTCAGGATTAAGAATCATGACTTCTTGCCACGTAGGTGGAGTAGCGAGGGAAGTATGATTATGATCGATCTTAGGTTATGGCGGAGCAGTGGTTTTGACGTCTCCAGACATTCCACCAACCAGTCTTGGAGCAAAACTTATTTTGGTGGCACCACAAGTGGACGTTAGAGACAGGATACATAGACACGTAGATACTAGATAACATGCATGCAGAAAATGGCCAAACACACATGACTGCATTCCCCGTGTCCCATTTTGCAAACTGTGGCAGATCTTGGCAACATTTGATTCGGGCATAGTTGCAGCCAAGCGTTACTGCATTCTGGGTAGACGGCGCTGTGACGTCATCATGGGACTTACCACATGGCACCAATGTTACGGTGGCGTGAAACGCCGCTCTTCGCGAGCTGGTTTAAACGAAGTATTCCCATAACCAGATTGGTTTTCGGTCCAGGACATTTAATGAAGCATTTTCAGCTGGGAGATAGCGTTGGTTTGCACCAGAGATACAAAGTTGTTGATTCAATGCGCTCGCAACCTGCCCCTGACAGAAAGATGGTGTACCCCATTCACCAGCGATCTATTCCGAACAACTTAAGCCGGAAGCGCTCAGCAAGGACCTACGTAAAGAAATGCAAAATGCGTAAGTACCCTCAAAATTTGTGTTAATGGGACACAGTATGCAACACATACATAAATACATACATACATAAGTACGTAACATAAGACAGCACACACAAGTGCCCTCACACTTTGTATTTACGGGATGGACGTCGGCGAGGGTGCACCAATGACGTCTCTCACAAAGATGGGGTACGAAGGCGGCGGAAAACCTCCACCACCTGAGTAAAAAGACAGCACTTCTGCCACTTTGAATTCACTTAACAAGTTGACTTAATTTTTAACCATATGTTACATTTCCCTACCTTTTCAAGATCACTAGATGGTGCAGATGAGTAAGGGCGGGCCTGACGGTCCCGCAACATTGGATGCTCGCTGAGAAGTTGTTGAAGCTTATTTAAGAATGTGCGTCCTGTAGCCTTAGGATTATGGCTCCAGCTGTGGCCTGTAGCGTTGCCAGGGTGGATGTAAAGCTGACTTGCCCTGATGGGGGTGGTGAGTGATAAAGCTGTGAAGCGTAAATGCAGCACTTGCCATATCAGTTGACGATAAGAGATTTTGCTGCAAAATGGGACGATTTCTGACAAGTTTCGGAATGTCTACCGGTCAAAGAGCAGTTGTCCGTATCTCAGCCGGGGAAAGGTCTTGGGGGGTATATTTGGGTGGTCGGGATTTTATTCCCTGCGCATCTTTTTCATCTAACGAATCCGGCATTATGGCTTAAGTTCACCCACGCCTGGGAAGATGATAGTACAGCAGCAGCGAAATTCTTCGCACATTCCCTCTTCACCTTGTCTTATTTTCACATTTTGCACCAAATGCACTGCAGTGCAAACATAAATGAGCAATGCGCGAGGGCTAAAACTCAAATAGTGTATCAGTTTTCCTACACGTTGACTCCGACGAATATGGCGCGGATGCTGTAATTGGAAAAAGTGGTTTAGCAGGATATGCTACTGGAAGCACATCCGGGTATTTCATTGGTCTTTAGAAGGTTTAAAATGCAAGATGCACAATTTTTCACACACAAAATTGAAGTTAAGACATGAAACAGGATTTCTACCCAGTTTACGGGCGAAATCTCCGTTTTAACCATTTTACTGAAATCTACCAACCTTTTTGTAGTATCTACCAAAAACCACACCACGGGCCACCATACT